TCCTCTGGTCCCCACCCATGTGTCAGCTCCTCACAGTTCCAAGGGGCCACCCAGCATCCCCGGGGCCCAAGCCCTTGGAGGATGTGGTCTGGGAGGGTGGGACAGACGCCTGTTCCCCAGGCCTGCCTCTGATGTGTCACCCAAACCTTTAAACTTTGCACCTCAGGTTTGTTTATTTATTTATTTATATTTTTTTGAGACAGACTCGCTCTGTTGCCCAGACTGCAGGGCAGTGGCATGATCTCACCTCACTGCAACCTCCGCCTCCCAGGTTCAAGCGATTCTCCTGCCTCAGCCTCCAGAGTAGCTGGGATTACAGGGGCGCGCCACCACACTAATTTTTGTATTTTCAGTAGAGATGGGGTTTCACCATGTTGGTCAGGCTGGTCTCGAACTCCTGAGCTCAAGTGATCCACCTGCCTCAGCCTCCCAAAGTGCTGGGATTACAGGCATCGGCCAACGCGCCTAGCGGGACCTCAGGTCTATAATCATCTAAATCACCCAACAGGGAGAAGCAGCAAGACCTGGGCAGCCAGGGCCAGGCAGGAGGGCCATCCGCCTGTCCTCTCCCCACCCCCAGCTCTCCCAGGCACTACAGCCTGGGGCAGCCCCTCCCCCAGGGCCCCACCCTCAGCCTCCCGTGCGGGTGAGGAGGAGCAGGCAGCCTCACTGGAGGCCAGATGACCAAGCCGAGGCGCTCCCCTGCCCCACCCCACCTGCATTTGAGGGGTGGGCTTTGTTTGTGGCCATGGGGAGGACAGACCCCCACACTCCACAAAGCCCTCCGCTTGGCTGCTCGGGCGTCTGGGCCAATTCTGGTGGTCCTGAACCAGAGGCCACCAGTGGCCCCTGTGGAGGCTCAGAACCAAAATCCCACATTCTTGGAGGCTCTTGGGGTCCTCAGGGTTGGGTAGTGCAGCAGCGTGTAGGCTGGGAGGGAAGCCTGGGATCAAATCCTGCCTCCCCTTCTTCCTGTTGGGTGGCCTTGACAGGGAGTGAGGGCTTCCTGGTGACTGAGCCTCGGTTTCCTCGTGTGTCCTGGGCTTGGAGAAGTCCCTTCTGGAGGCAGGAGGGTCCCTTCCTCTTGGTCAGGGCAGGGAGGAAATGCGCCCCAAGGAAGGATGGCAGCGCCCACTGCGCCTGTTTCCTCTTTCCCCCACTCGGGGCTCCTTCTCTGATTCTGTGTTGGGGACTCTTTCCTGCCCCTCAGAGTCTGAGGCTTCTAGGCCTGCACTGTTCATACCCCTGACCCCACCCCAGCCCCCAAGTTCACAAGCCCATGTCTGCCGGAGCCGCTTGTCACATACGACCCTCTCCTAGAAGTCCCTGGGCTCCACTTGTCCCCACAGGGTTTCCAGCCTGCTTCGGCCCCAGGGTCCTAGGACGGGTGCAGGGAGGCGAAGTGGCCCCCAGCCCCCGGACCCACACCATGCAGAAAATTCGGCACAACCCAGCTTCCCCCGAGTGAGGTGGCTGTCCCAGGGCAAGCTTGGTGAGGGCATTGTTGCCCCCCTGTCCCTTGGCCTTGGCAGGGTGAGGTTATGGCATGGGCAAGACTCAGAGGTGCAGAAATCAGAAGGGGGATCCAAAAGGGGGTCCAGCCCTGCCAGGCAGCCTCACCACCTGGTGGCTCCCATGCTGGGCGATCCACTCCCCCTCCAGGGCGGGGCTCCAAACCGCTCTGGGGGAGGCTGGCCTCAGCCCGGTGTCGGGGGGCCTGGGCCCATGTGCCTGGATACTGCCAGGCACCCTGCCCCTCTGGCTCCCTGGGGCCCTGGGCCTCTCGAGGGCAGGAATGCCGTCTGTGCTGTCTGGCCAGGGCTCCCCTCACTGTGCACACTGGCGTTTTGGGCCATGGGAAGGAGTTCGAGCCTGGTTTCTGTCTCCCCGTCAAGCCCTGACTGGAGTGCTGGCCAGTGGCTCCCCAGGCACCTAGGGGAGGCTGTGGGCAAACTGAGACAGTCCAGAGCCTACAATCACTCCAGGAGCCTGTGGGGCAGGGATGGGGCTGAGGGGGCCTGGCACCCTGTGGGTTCCCCAGCTGTGTGGCTGGGGACAGAGCCCACCTTGCAGCCTCTGATCTCTGGCAGAGGGAGGCTGGACATTTGTTTGGAATAGTGTTCATTGGTTTGCTTTGTTTTCTTTTTTTTGAGACGGAGTCCCTCTCTGTTGCCCAGGCTGGACTGCAGTGGCGAGATCTCGGCTCACTGCAACCTCCGCCTCCCGGGTTTGAGCAATTCTCGTACCTCAGCCTCCCAAGTAGCTGGGACTGCAGGTGCCTACCACCACGCCTGGCTAATTTTTGTATTCTTAGTAGAGACAGGGTTTCACCAAGTTGGCCAGGCTGGTCTTGGACTCCTGGCCTCAGGTGATCCACCCGCTTCAGCCTCCCGAAGTGCTGGGATTACAGCTGTGAGCCACCGCGCCCGGCCTGTTTTGTTTTCTGATTACAGTATGAATACATTTCAAAAGGGCAATTTGAAAAACATAGAAAATTCTAAAGAAGAGAATATAACCCACCCATCAACCCATCACACTATATCCAGGTGCACCACCTCCAGCTTCCAGGTCTCCCAACCTCGGCCGGGGGTCTCCATATACTTCTCCCTTCTGTAATGGGGTCGTCCTGCGGGGGCTGGGGCCTGCGTGGATGGATGCCCAGGGTGGGGGCTACCTCCTCTGGACCACCAAGACCTCCCCAGCAATGCGGTGCATGCTGGAACCAGACCAGGACCAGTGCATACTCACCATGAGCTTCTGTTGCCATCTGGGCCTGGGTTGGGAGCAGGAATCTCTGGGACAGGCCAAGCATATTTCAGAGTCATCAGGTTCAGGACCACCCTCTCCCTCCCCCAGTGTCTGCAGCTATTTTCATAGGAAAAAAACTGGGTTTAAAAAAGCTGTTCCAGACCTCGGGACCTGAAACTGATTTCTACCCTTCCGCGTGGCCCTAAGGCTCCCAGGCACGAGGCGCATAGCTCAGGAAAGACAGTGCCTCTGACACCCATTTAAGAGTTAACTGAGGCCAAAAAGCAGCTCTGCACGCCCCTCCTGTTCAGAGGCCCACTGATCCGCTGGTCCCATGGTCACCACGGGGTATGGGTGCAGACAAAGCCGTGTTCATGGAAGCCCTGGGCCTGATGACAGTGGCACAAGGACCCCATTCTCTACTGTCCCCAGCTGCATCCCCTCCCCCAGCGGACCTGACATCAGAGACAGCGGGTCAGACATCCTGGGAGCTCCCACTCCCACCCCAGGGCGCAGGCTCAGCTGCTGGGGCTCAGGGAAATTCACAAGGGGGCCTGTGTCGGGGAGACAGGGGGTGGATGAGCTGCCTGAGTGGTGCAGACAGCTGCGGCTTGGCCCAGCAAGTCTTCAGTGGGAAGCTGCCTGCATTTTTACAACTGATTTTTGAACCTGAAAGTGGAGGTTCACATCCAGCCTGTTCAACCTAATCTTGTTGGTTTCAGTCCAAGGTGACCTTTTGGAATCTGCTTTCCAGACTCTTGCCATATATTAGCAGTTCCTCCCGGCTGCAGGCTGCGATCTGCCTTGCTGGGGCCTCATCCCAGTGACAGAGAAACAGGCCAGCCGCCAGCTTTCGGAAGGGCTTCCCAGGGAGAGCTGGACCCTGACACATCTGTCCGTGGGTGCTGTGGCCAAGACACCCAATGGCTGGTCACGAGGCCCATTTTGTTCTGCTCCTGGTCTACAAGGTAGAAGTCGGGATGCATCATGTCTGCCCCAGCCATGAGTCTTAGGGTGGTCCGAGGCCCACAAGCCAGCCAACCCTAGGACTAGTTTTCCAGAAGAATCCAGGGCCTATGCACCCAGGCCCCAGGTGTGAACAAGGGCATGTTGTTTGTTCTCACAGTCTCCTTCTGCTCATCTGTAAAACAGGCATGGCCACCATGCCCTCTGTGTCCCAGGCTGTCTAGAGGGTTGAACAGGCAGGGCAGGATCTGGTACCCCCGCTGCCCACGATAACCACGCAGGCCAGAGGGGTGAGGAATGGAGTTGGCTCAGGCAGCGCAGGATTGGAGGTGGCTGAGGCCTGGCCCTCCCGTTCCCTCTCTGGGCTATGAACCAGGGTTTTGTCCGTCCCCTGGGGCTGTCTCCCTCAGGCCAGGGCTCCTTTATTCTCCCTGTTTGGCACCAGGGGCGTAGGGATGGCAGCATCATTTCCCCAAGCAGCCCCCACAGGGCTCCCTGGATTCTTCTCTGAGAAACACATGCGCTGGCTCCGGTCATGGCTGTGTGTAACCCAGCACGCCAGGACAAGTGCGACAAGACCAACGCCTGCAGGGCCGCAGCAAGTGCCCCAGGGGCGGGGGAGGGGGTAGGGGGTATGCCGGCGCCCGGCAGTGTCGCTGTCCCCGCACCACCCCCCAGTGTGACCTTCCCTGACACGCGGACAAAGGCCAGCAGAGCAGACGGCGCCTTTAAGGACGCGGCGCGGCGGGTTCGGTGCCAGGAGGTGCCGGGGGGCGGAGGGAGCGGGCGCTCGAGGCCAGAGGAGCGACCCCCGGCAGCCACCCAGGCGCGCCCTGCTCATCTCCCGCTCTCTTCTCCCACTTGCGCCGGCCGAGGGCGGGGCGCAGCGGCGAGGGTGGGGGCTGGGCAACCGGGGTCCTCCCTCCCCAGCTGTGCTGGAGGCACTGGGGCGCTCTCCGGAGCTGGGGCGCAGAGGGAGGGCCGAGGGCGCGTCGGAGCCTCATCCGGCCTGGGCCCTCCGAGCGGGAGCGACCCCGGTGCGGGACCCCACTTTGCCTGGCCACCCCAGGCACGTGGAACGGGAGCTGAGGTTGCGGCCGGCGAAGGGGTGCGGTCCGGGCGGGGGTCGCGCGGCCGAGGCACGCGGCCTGGGCTCTGGAATCCGGGAGAAGTCTCCGGCACGGGCTCCTGAGCGCACAAACTCGGGGACGCCCTTGCTCTGGTCCCTGGTTCCCTCCCCGAAAAGCGAAGGGGACCGGGCTGGAGGGAAAGGGATTCGGCTTCGCTCCGTTCTCGTCAATTTTCTGTTTAATGTCACTGGGCCCCACTGTGGGAGTAGGAAGCACGTCACCCGGGCCATAAATTTGCGGTGATGGCGCCTCCGGCCGCCTCCCCAGACGGAGGGACAGGCCCGACTCCGGAGCAGGTGGGGCCGCCGGGACTTGACCCCCGCGGTGGGCGCTGCGCAGCTTCTCCCGACGCGGGTCCTGGGCGCGCTCGGCCGCCCCTCCCGCCGCATCCGCCCGCGCCCGGCCCCGCCGCGGGATTTCCAAAGGGCTTTTGTTCCGAGCTTGGATGTAGACGCTTTTTTTACCACCCGCCTCAGGAGACTTTTTGCTTGGAAAAGTCCTGCTATTAAAACAAAAACAAAAAACAATCAATTCCAGAGGGAAGAAAATGCCTCCAGTGTGTCTCTGCGCTTCCCCCGGGCCGAGGGCGGGCCACGGGCGGTGGTCGGGGCTGCGTATTGCCCGGACCCCGGGTAGGGGAGGCGCAGAGCTCTGGCCCTAATGGACTTCGCTCGGAAAGGCCCCGGCGGAAGTGGCCGGGAGAGCGGGCTGCTGTGCGGCGGGTCTGGGCCCTGGCCCGGGGCAGGCTCCTCTGGCCTTCCTGCCTTGGCTGTTGGGAAAGGGATTTTTGGGGAGTCTCCCTTTCGGGGCACTTTCCCCGAAACTCCTCTCCCGCCTGGGGAATTATCCCTGCAGCGAGTACTGATGCTTCATGAATTGAAGTAGAATACGTATTTGTGCAGGCCAGGAAAAAAATGATCTATTGAATGATTTTTAATTTAATGGATCAACTGTCCCGTTAACAAAAGAGGCGGTGGCCGTATTTGGAGCAGGCGGAGGCAGCAGTCAGGTGGTCCAGGGGCTGGAGGTGAAGGCTCTGCCCCAGGCACATGCTGCTCGGTGACAACTCCAAATAACTTACTGGAGGGCTATAAATGCTGTAGGTAACCAGGCCAAGGACTCCAGTGCCCCCAGAAGTCGTGGGGGAGAGACAGTCTGTCCCCTCTGGTCCAGCCCAGGGAGGGCCTGCAGCCTCCCAATGGGAGCCATGGCCAAAGGAGAGAAAAGTCTCCAGGGCTGGAGGGCAGGTGGGCGGTGGGGCTCATCTCAGGGGCGGGGCGTGGGGGTTTGTGGGCCAGGACCCACTAGAGGGCTAGATCTGGGAGGTGCGTGAGGAGCCCAGGTCGATCTGGTGTGTGCCCTGCGGGATGCCCTGAGGCCTCCTGCTTGTGTTAGCAGGAACTGCCTTTGGGAGTCCTCAGCTGGGGCCACGATGCTGGCAGGGTGAGGCCTGGCAGGGTCTGGGGCTTTTGGAGGGTGGGGGCTAAGGGAACCCCTGGTGGAAGCTGGCTTCAGAGTTCCTGCCTGCCTTGAGGATGGGTGAGAAGGGGCTGGGCCCTGCCCTCCTGCTGCCTGGGTTCTGTAACTGAAGCTCAGAGGACAGGGTGGGGTTGGGTATGAGACCTAAATGCTCCATGGTCCTGTAGGTCTCCGCTGGCCTGGCCCCGCCATCCAGCCTGCACCCCTCCACTAGGGCCCTCCCACCAATGTGAGAATAGGCCTGGGGAAGTCTGGGCCGGCAAGGCCCTCTGAGCCCCACTGTCCAGACACCCTGACAGCGATATGTGTAAACACAGCCAAACAGTGGAGAGCCAAATAGTGGAGACAGGCAGCCCTGACGCCCCTTCCCCTCTGCAGCCAGGCCTGGTCTGGCAGGGAGTGGAGGCAGGTGTCCTTGCAGGCAGGGCCTGAAGCCAGGCTCTGCTCTGGAGGATGCTCCCAGAAGGACCACATAAGCAGTGCCCTCATTTGGATTGGTCCTGCCTGAGCACTGTCCCCAAGCAGGGCAGTTTCAGCCACTAGGCCCTCCCAACCCCCATCTGTCTGATCTGGACTTTCTCTCCCGGGTCTGGCTTCCTGTCCTCGTTGTCCTCCTGGGCAGGAAGACTGAGGGCTGTTTGGGGTCAACCTCCTGTGGGGAAAACCAATTACTCTTTATTCCAGCGGATCCCCAAAGCGCATCCCTTGGCCCAGAGATTCCCAGAGAACCCCGCCCCTCCAAGTCCACCCCCAGACTGGCTGCCTGTGGGGAAGGAGCCGGCCTTTAGGGAAGGCAGCCTGGCACAGTAGAGATTCCCAGGGCTCCTGGGCCTTTCTCCAGTCCTCCAGCCGCAGAGGAGGTGACTGACCAGGAGGCTGGAGGGGCAGCGGGACAATGGTGAGTGGAAGGGGGCTGGGAGGATCCCTCCTCAGCAGGGGGGTCCCTGGCAACTCCCACCTTCCTTGATCCCCTCTAATAATTGCAACAATCACACTGTCACTAATAAAAAGGCAGAGGAAACCAGGCAAAGGGGTGCTTCTGCCCTTTATGAAAATCACTTTAATTTAACCCAGATGGGTCTCCTTGATAACTTCATACAACAAGCACCCTGAATTATACTTTCCGTGCGAACACACTGGTTATATTTAGCCACAAATTACGACTCTGTGTTTAACAAGCAACTTTGAGAGCGGGGAGGGGGCCGGGCAGCCTCCTGACCTGGTTGGACAAAACTGGCAACTGCAGCAATGGAGCCCCCTCACTGGACGGGGAGTCCAGAAAGTCCTGCCACGGGCTTCTGAGTCCCTTTCCTCTGCTGCTCCGGTTTCTTTAAAAAACTTACAACCTCCTCCCGAGTCTGTCGAGGAGACCATGGCCTGCAGGTACAACCTGAGCCTCTCCCAGGATCCCTGGGACTTCTGCCTTCCCACATCTCCAACCTGGCTCCCTGCTTAGGCTGGAGCCAGGGACCCTCTGGGAGTGCCCAAGAAGGGGCAGACAGCCTTGTGCGCCGGGCTGGGAGCTGTGTGTGCCTGGAAGACAATCTCCCACCCAGGCCTGGCTGCTGACAAGCCTTGCTCCTCTGTGGCCTGCCTCAGCCCAGGCGCTGGGGACGAGGGTGCGGTGCTCCCTCCATGCAGCCCCCTCCCCTGCCACCTCATCCTCTGGGTCCTGATAAATGAAGGGGCTGTGATTGGAAGCTTTGTTTTCAGTCGGGGCAGCCCCCTTCGCTTCGGAACCTTCGCTGTCCTCTCCCCTCCACAACAGTTCTGCTCCTCTGAAGGGTAAGCTCCCGAAGGCAGAAGCTGTGGCAGAGAAAAGGCTGCCCCCCACTCCAAGGCACAGACCCTGGGGCTTCCCAATCCTCCCCAGAGCCAGAGGTCACACTGCTGAGCAGGGGAGGTGAGGGGGGAACACACGGACCTTTCCCCCACACCCTCTTCCCTCCGGGCACCAGGAAAGACCCTGATGAAAAGAACTCCCCCCAGTCCATAGCAGAGGGGCTTCTACAGGCAGATGGGTGGGGTGGGGGGTCAGGACCTCTTCCGGGAGGGAGTGCGATTGTTCCTAAACCCCCGCCCCAGCTGTCCTCCCGAACACTGATTCTGGGGTGGGGGTGAGCTGCTGCCGCCCTCCGGTTGAGGGAAGTCTCTGCTGTGAACCATTTTAGGCCCCCCACCTCGACCCCTGCCTACCCCTCCTGATGCCAGTCCCAGTCTCAGGCCTGGCCCCTGGACTTGTCCCCCTGTGCCTCTGGTGGGAAGAATTAAGAGTCAATTTTTGTCATCAAGAAATTGTTTCTAATTTGCCCTTTGACTAATGGCCCAGGGAACAATGGAGAGACATCTAACACAGGATTACTGGGGGCACCGAGCTGCTGCTCTCTGGCCGAAGCAGGCATTTATTTGGAGCAATGGCTAATTCACAATTTCATGTAACTTACCTGACACCCCCACCCCCTTGTATTAAAAAATAATTATTTATATGATTATTTCAGACAGAGCAGGATCTCAGTGGTTTGGGAGCCGGGAGACTTACATCTGCTGCCATTCTTGGGGAGCGTGGGGGTGGGAGAGGAGTGCTGGAGGGGGCTCCAGGGCTGGGCCCAGTTCTGGGGGAACAGGGGCCCCTAGGCTGGAAGGGAGAAGGTGGTTCTCGGGAGTGCTTCTGCGTGTGTCATGTGCCTCTGCAGGCATGTTTTGTGCATGTGGGAGTGTGACATGCTGCGTGAGGCTCACCTGTCTGCCCATCTGTGCTGTGGGTTTGGGTGTGTACACTTCCAAGTGATTCACATGTTGGCACATGAATGTGTACAGGCAGACGTATGTGCACACACTCAAAACTGTGCACAAGTGTCTGTATGCATTCAAGTGTGATGTGTGAGCCAGCCTGCCAGGTGTAGAAGCGCAGCTAGTTATGTGGGGTGGGGGGTTTATCTTCTACCCAGGCCAGAGGGCAAACCTGGAGTGGTGTCTGCCAGGCCCATGGCAGTGACCCCAGATCCTGCTGAAGAGGGATCAAGGTGGGGTTCAAGGCCACTCCTGGCACTGTTCCAGGCCCCACTGGCTATCCACAGGCCCAGCCTCACTTGCAGCCCACTCATCTGCAAAGCTGCAGGAACTTCGGAGACCTGGGCACTCCAGCATCAAGACTGACCGTGGGTTTATTATCCCCCCTCTTTTCTTCCTCCTGTCCCCTCCCTGGTCCTCTCCCCAGTGGATGGCGAGTCTACAGATCCCCACACCATGTTCCTCTAAAATTAAAAACATTTGTTAGCTCTGGACAGCAGGAAGAGTAAAAAAGGAAACCAGGGAGGTTTCCTCCAAGCAGATCGCCAGCCTGAGCTCCCGGCGGCCCAAGTCTTCCAGGAGAACTCGGGAGCTTATTTTGGTATTGCGGGAGCTGCCCAGCGGCCAGGCGCCCGTGCTGGGCAGCTGCCAGCCCCTCTCCATCGAGTCCAGCAGACCCGTCTGCAGTTATTTGCTGTAACAACTGTTTTGAAACAGTATTGAAAAAAAAACAAAAAGCCCACTACAATTTGTTTTAAGTGAACACTGGGGGAGGAGGAGGCAGAAATGGGGAGGAAGGAGAAGCGCAGGGAGCCTCTGCACTGCTCTGGAAGGCGCACTCAATGCCTCGGGCCTTTGCCCGCCCGAGCAGCCTCTCTCGGGGACACGAAGGGGCCAGCACTTGGGGGATGTGAAGCCAGTGCTCATCCTAGGAATCTGGTGAGGCTGAGCTAGAAGGGTCTAAACTAGCTTCAGGAGATAGGGGCCACGCACCTGTGAGCTACTCTCTGCCCTCCCATGTCCCTGGCAGTGGGCATTTCTCGGATGGTGAATGATGACTGGGGATGGGGGCAGGCAAGCTGAGGGTCCATCCTTCAGGCTCCAGGACCCTAGAACAATCTGCCCAAGGGGGAGGGGAGGCTGGTTTAGGGGCTCTGTGGGGCCTTTCCAGCCACTCTCCCTGCAACACATTCTGGAGGGGACCAGGACTCCCAGGGGCTTGAGGCCTCCCTTTCCCCCACAGGTCGGTTTGAGGTGGAGCCCCTGCCCTGACGCGGGGAGCTCAGAGCAAGTCCTGGGACACCACGGTGTTCTCTTTGTTGGAACCAAGATTTTTCTCATCTACATATTTTCCTATATTAAAAAATTCAAATGAGGCTTTAAAAATTAACTTGAAAAAGGTTCCTGATCCGGAAACAAGCTCATCGGAGGCAGTGATGGGAACTCGGTTCCTTAGGAGAGGAGGAAACGTGCCGTCTGTGAGGGGCGCCCTGCGTGGACCCGGGGCCTCGGGGCGCGTCTACCCACCCGAGCCAGGAGAGACTGGGCCCCACGGTGTTAGCCCCGGGCCCGGACCCGGGCCCGCGTGCCGCTTCCAGCTCGCGCCTCCTCCATCCCCGGAGGGTTGCGCGGGTCCCTGGCGACCCGTCCCTGTGCAGGGTCCGGGAACCTTCCCCTCCCCTCCTTTCCCAAGCGCCATTTCTCCGGAGCCGGGCCGGCCGTCCTCAGTGTACGCGGGAAGCGGGCAGCCTCCGCCTGCACCCGCGGGGCTGGGACCCAGAGGCGCCCGATTCCCCAACACACTCGCTGGGGCCGCTACTCCAGCCTCCCGATGTCACGGCCAAAGCCCGGGGGTCGGCGCCAAACACACCCCCAGCCGGCGACCGCGCCCAGAGACCTAATTCAATCGTCCCCGCCCTAATGAATAGCCGCGCGCTAATCTCATCTCCGCGCGCAACGGGGATTTACGCTTCCCGACTCTGCCCCTCGGGCCCCGCGGCCCGCCAGACGTCGCTTCCGAAGGCGCCGGCCTGGGGCCTGGCCAGGGGCTCGGTCGCTGGGGTCCTGGCCGCCGGAGCCGGGAGACGCCGGAGCCGGGACCCGGGCCTGCGCGACCGCCACTCCCGAGCCAGCGGGACGGGCCCCGCGCATTGTCCTGAGCCCCCGGCCCGGCCCGCGGAGCCCTGGCGCTTACCTGCGAGCCCCGGGCTCTCCGGAGCTCCCTTCCTGGCCGCGCCGCCCAAAGCCGGCGCCGGCGCCGGCGCAGGCCCCGACTCAGGCAGGCGGGAAATCCCGGAGTCCCCACCCGCGGCCCACAGCCCCCCACCCCAGGTCGGCGTGGCCTGCGGGGGGGAAGGCCGGCCGGGGCCGGCCGCCCGCTTCCCCTTTCTCTCCAGATTCCTTTGATCCGCGGGCTCTCCGCCGCACCTCGGCTCCCGGGCTGCCCGGGTCGGCCCGCGGGGATCCTGGAAACGGTCCCCAGCTTATCTCCTTTCATCAAGCGGCCTTGGGCCGCCTTGAAACCGCGGAGCCAGTAATTGCTTTTTTCAGGAGGCCCAGTGCGGACTGGACAACAGCCAATCAGCGCCTTGTTTACACTCGGTGATGGACAGTCCGCTGGCGGAGTGCCAACCAATCCCAGCGGTCCCGCGGGAGCGGGAGTGGGGGCGGGGAAACAGAGAGACAGCAGGCTTTGAGTTTAACTCTTTCGTGTCCCTGCTGGAATGAGACGGTGGAGAATTTCGAATGCGTGTGAATCTGTCATTTGGCTTCTAGTTTAAATATCCTTTTTTCCCCCAGAGGGGGAGGCAGAGATTCACAGGGAGAAAGAGGAGCAAAAATAAATGTATCCATCGCCACTAAGACATCACCTCGACTCCCTGAGAATAAATAGCATTTGGGTGGGAAACCAAATTCTAACAGAAATATTTGTTTGCAGAATATTTTAGAAGTGGTTTGCATCTGATTACGATAAAAATTGTTCAGTAGCTTGCTTTAGTTGGAGTGAGGATTTAGCAGATATGCAGACAGGGAGCAGCATTGAGAAATACTATACATGGTTTACCACACCATATCCCCTTCCCCCATTATCGAGCTGAAAATATTTTTTAAATTTAGGTGTAGATGAAGAAAGGGCAATCCTTGTCCTCGCAATAAATCCCTGATTTTCATTTTAGTAGTTGCTCTGTTGCAAAGTGTGGCAGGGGGAGATAAAACTGAGAGCCAGTAATGTAGACGGCTGGAGACTCAGAACTCACTTCCCAGAGTCTGATCCCCAGGTCAGGGGGAGGAGAGGGCCGGGCGGGCTATTCAAAGCTTGTACTGCCCAAGCAGCGGACGTGCGTGCATCCGTGAGCTCGGGTCCGGGCAGGCAGCAGCCTCAGAGCGGTAGATGGGCCAGGCAACCTGCGGAGGCCTCTGGGCTTGGAGGTCTGGCCTACCTGCCACCTGCCAGACAGATCGCAGGGAGAAAAAGTAGCTACTTTTAAGGGGTGATGGTGTTTCTTCCTTTGGCCTTCTGTGCGGCAGAAGCCAAACGTTAGACCTGCTGGATTAAACATGTATGTGTGTGTGTGTCTGTGTCTGTGTATACACCTCCCCCTCCGCCGGGACACGCGCACTCGCTGGTTCCAGCTCCCTCCCCTGCCCTGCGCCACCACATTCCCATTCAGCAGCAATGATCTGCGCAGAGGAGCTGCGCAGTCGCCGGGCTTGAATTAGGCGCCATCGGGCTTGGTAGTAGCCCCGCTGCTTCCTGATTGGCAGCTCCCTGGCCCGGCGCCAGCCTATTGGGAGGCCTGTTTACGCCGAATGAGTGGCACGAGCTCCCGGCCGTGGAGGGCTGCGCGGCCAATCAGCGCGCTGGCTGCTCCGGGCTGAGTGGCACGAGCTTATTAGTATGCAGGGCCCGTGGCTCGCCGCGCCAGGCTGCAGGTTTGAGAGCCGCTCTGGATGGGCTCGCTAGAGTCGTTGTTGTGGAAGCGGTGCATTTACAGTGCAACAGTCAGCACATTGAAAATACCAATAGGAATACAAAACAAAGTCACATTTACTGATTTAATTGTATTGCATTCAGTTGTATCCAGGAAACAGCCTCCAGTAAGTAACTGAAATTGCTTTCATTTTTTTTTTTTTTGGTATTTTTATTATTATTTTTTATTCTGGCTTTGGGGTTTTACAATTTTTTTTTTTTTAGCAAAAGAAATTCAGGGTTGTGATGTTAAGAAATATATACCTTCCCTTTTAACAAAATCCGTTAAAATGTCGAAGCTTTTTTTTTCTTAAAAAATATGGACTATATAAGCGATTTTTTTCTCTGAAAAATCTTATCGATCGGTTTAAAATTCCCCCCGTAATGCGTCCTTGCTTTGCTCTGGACGCTTGTTGTCTCGATCGACACCCAGCATTAAAAATAAATACTCGAGACAGGACAGGGACCGTCAGGCTGCGTCTGGCGCGAGCCGCGCGGGTGGCACCGGGCGGACAGTCGGCGAAGTCCGGGCGCCGCCAGCGTGCTCCCAGCTTTGGGTGACCCACGAACGAACCCCTACTATTCGCTCCCCTACCCTGCTCCCCTCCCCGGAGCAGTCCTGAGTTGGCCCCGCCCGGTCGGTCCGCGGCTAGGGGAACCGGCCGGCTCGTGGTACCCACGGCCGCTGCCCTGAAGGGCCTTCTGGGCCGAAGCTAGGGGCCGGGGAGGGAAACGGTCATGGCGAGTTTTTCGGTCTTCGTTCCCATTTCAGAATTTTTTTTTCGGAGAAGGGGTGGAGGAGGGGGGCCGAGCGAGGCTGGCGCAGCGGGGCGTTTTCACCGCGCGTTCGGGACAGCGCGCGGGGCTCGGGTCACGGCCCGTGTGGCGGGGTCCGCGGGCTGGTTTTCCTCAGGCGCGGGGGTCAGGCGCGACCCTAGTTCTCAGGACTCTCCTCGGGAGCGGGTGCGGCTGTTTCGCAGGGAGCGGGTTCTGCGGCAGCGGCCGAGCCACTAGCGCCCCCGGGCGCGCCAGGTCCCAGCCCGGCCTGCAGGCCCCACCGCGCCCGCGCTCCCGGAGACGGCGCCGGAGGGAGGCAGACGGGTCGGAGTCCGGGTCTCCGACAGGCGGGCGAGGAGAGAGCGGGTTTTTAGATGCAAAAGCAGAAAACAAAGCAAACCTGTAGAAGCCCCAGATCCTGGAGCGCGCCAGCCACGCCTGGGGCCGCGGGAAGAGGGACCCGCGGCTCCGGGGTCACGCCCTGCCTTCCCGGGAAGGAGCCCTGTGCTCCGAGGTTCAGCTCCTCCCGAAATGCCCTCGTCCGCGATTCTCCGCCCGCCCGGGGTCCTCTGCCCGCCATCACTTTTCGCTCCGTTTCCTCCCTTAGCTCAGCCTGACCTGGCGCTGCGGCGCCGTCCTCGCGGTCCTCCTGCGCGGCCTCTCTTGGAGCTGGGCTGGGGGTGGGCCCCGGGCCTCGGCACTCGGCGGGTGGCGGCGTCGCGGCTGCGGGACTGTGGGGCTCCCAGCCCGGGCCGTGTGGCCGCCCTTCCTCGCCCCGCTTCCTGGCCTTCTCGGGCTCCCCAGGCCCCCGAAGCCCGGCGCTGGCAGACGCGGAGGCGCGGCGCGGCCTCTCCCCGGGAGGAGAGAACACAAAGAAAAGCCCCCTCCAATCCGGTCAGAGCCGTGGCGGCGCAGGCAGGCGACAGTAATCCGCCTCCTGTTTTCTTAAAAAGTCGAGCCGGCTGGTGAGAAAGGAACAATCGGGCCTGCGATCCGCCCGCAGGGGGTGCGAGATTAAAATTGCTGCTTCGTAGCCGAGCCCGCGTCCCGAGAATCGCCAGCAGCTCACGCTTTCTCGAGTTTGAAATTTCTCATTGGAAAAAAAAAAAAAAAACAACCGCAAAACAAAAGCACAGCACACACGACTCCCCGGAGGCCTCCAGGAAGCCTGGCACCCCCGCGTGCGCCGCCCCCGGCGCTTCTCCGGCCCTCGGCGCCTTTGAAGCTGCAGGTTTCTGACCTCCCTCTCTTTGCTTCTTTCCCTTTGTCCCGCCCGGCGCCCTCCGGAGCTCGGGAGGCGCCGGCCGGTGCTGGGGGCCCCCACGTCCCTAGTCCTGCCCGGGCAGCCCCTCCCCTGACCCCAGCGCTCGCAGCCCCCTCGCCAGAGTACTCTCCCGGCCCTGGCGGCCGGGCACTCGCTTTGCAGGCCGGGCTCGGAGCTTGGGAGCCGAGCTGTTTGTTAGACCGGGGGAGAGAGCTGGCGATCCCCAGAGGGAAGGGAACCCCAAACGCGTTTGTATGTAGTTGCCAGACAAAGAGAACTCTTTGTGTAGACCCATTTATTTACAATGCAAAAGCTCTCCGAATAAATATTAAAAAAAGCTTATCAGCTGAGCAAATATGTATTCACTTAATACATTATGTTTTCGGTTATAGATTAAATCAGACACAAAATAGTCTGCAAATAAGACGTTTTAGAACCGGGAGCATAAAATATCGCAATTTAAAAAGGTATTCAGGAGATGGAAAACATCTTAATCGCTTTGTTGTCATGGTGGGATGGCTACAAAAACACAAGGTTTTCTGCAAAGTTCCTAATTAAGAATATCAAGCCTATCCATCTCCCTTTTGTTGGAGACGATAAACATTAAAAACAATACGTATTTAGGAGATGAGGAGGAATATGTGAAGTGCGGCCGGGGAGCGCCTTTGGAGGAACGCCTGGGAGCAAGGTGGTGCACGTAGCTTCTATCACTGGCTCCGACCCTCCGCACCCAGAGTCTGAAATTGTCCCGAATTTCGCCTGAGTGAATGTTCCGCGTTGGGTGGGGGTGAAAGAAAATGGAAGTGAGGATCATTTTAGGTGGCCCCGCCAGAGGTCCGGGCGGGGTCTGCTGGCAGTAGATTGTGCTGGGCCGGGCCCACCTTCCCCGGCTGGAGGGCCGAACTGGGCGCCGCAGACCCCGCGTACCCAGGCCGCCCCGCCATGCAGAGACCGGCCTCTGCTCGCGGTCCCCGGCAGGCGCTGAAGGAAGATCAATCCTAGGGCCGATTTGGGCCGTTGAGAGAGCAGCATTCTGACTCTGAAAGCATCCCCCCCCACCCCCAAGCCCCCAATCCGCAGAGGAAGATCCTGGGCGAATTTGATTGGGGGGCGGGGTGATTGTTACAGCCTCAACAGGAAGCTCCCGGCTCCGGGACAGCAGGCCGGGCACTGCGGCGTGGCGGCCCAGGTGATGCCGGTGGCGGTTGCGGGGCGCCTGGGGCTCTGAGGAGCCGGCCTGGGGTCCTGGAGCGATTCTGGGGACAGGAGCTGGTCCCTCTGGGGCTGGGGAGGGAGGACGACAGCGGATTCAGAAGAATGGGCCGAAAGATGCATGGGGGGGATGGGAGTGGGGGAAAAGGAAGGTTATTAAAAAAAAAAAAACTCTTGAGTTACAATCAATAAAATTACTCGCTTAATTAGCATGGTTATTCGGTTAAGCGGAATGCAGTAAAAGCTGGATCTCGGCATGAGGTGGGGAGAGAGAGTGAGCGAGCGTGGACCCCAGGCCTTTTCCTCCGAGACACCTTTGGGCAGCGGGGGAGGGGAGAGGGTGTGCGTGTGAGTGTGTGTGTGTGTGTGTGCGCGAGTGTGCGTGATGGCTTCGCAGATTTGGGTTTTTATCACCCAGCAGAGCCAGCAGCCTCTTCGCCGCGGTGCCCTCGCTGCA